TGTGTGTGAGTGTGTGAGTGAGTGAGTGTGAGAGTGAGTGTGTGTGTGTGAGAGTGCATATGAGTGTGTGTGTGAGAGTGCATATGAGTGTGCGAGTGAGTGTGTGACTGAGTGAGTGTGTGAGAGTGTGAGTGTGTGAGAGTGTGAGTGAGTGTGTGTGTGAGAGAGTGCGTGTGTGAGTGTGTGTGTGTGTGAGTGAGTGAGAGAGAGAGAGAGAGTGTGTGAGAGAGAGAGAGAGTGTGTGTGAGTGTGTGTGAGAGAGTGAGAGAGAGAGAGAGAGAGAGCGAGAGAGAGAGTGTGTGTGTGTGAGAGAGAGAGAGAGAGCGTGTGTGTGTGTGTGTGTGTGTGAGCGAGAGTGAGTGAGTGTGTGTGTGAGAGAGTGCGTGTGTGAGTGTGTGTGTGTGAGAGAGAGAGAGAGAGCGTGTGTGTGTGTGTGTGTGTGTGAGCGAGAGTGAGTGAGTGTGTGTGTGAGAGAGTGCGTGTGTGAGTGTGTGTGTGTGAGAGAGAGAGAGAGAGCGTGTGTGTGTGTGTGTGTGTGTGAGCGAGAGTGAGTGAGTGTGTGTGTGAGAGAGTGCGTGTGTGAGTGTGTGTGTGTGAGAGAGAGAGAGAGAGCGTGTGTGTGTGTGTGTGTGTGTGAGCGAGAGTGAGTGAGTGTGTGTGTGAGAGAGTGCGTGTGTGAGTGTGTGTGTGTGAGAGAGAGAGAGAGAGCGTGTGTGTGTGTGTGTGTGTGTGAGCGAGAGTGAGTGAGTGTGTGTGTGAGAGAGTGCGTGTGTGAGTGTGTGTGTGTGAGAGAGAGAGAGAGAGCGTGTGTGTGTGTGTGTGTGTGTGAGCGAGAGTGAGTGAGTGTGTGTGTGAGAGAGTGCGTGTGTGAGTGTGTGTGTGTGAGAGAGAGAGAGAGAGCGTGTGTGTGTGTGTGTGTGTGTGAGCGAGAGTGAGTGAGTGTGTGTGTGAGAGAGTGCGTGTGTGAGTGTGTGTGTGTGAGAGAGAGAGAGAGAGCGTGTGTGTGTGTGTGTGTGTGTGAGCGAGAGTGAGTGAGTGTGTGTGTGAGAGAGTGCGTGTGTGAGTGTGTGTGTGTGAGAGAGAGAGAGAGAGCGTGTGTGTGTGTGTGTGTGTGTGAGCGAGAGTGAGTGAGTGTGTGTGTGAGAGAGTGCGTGTGTGAGTGTGTGTGTGTGAGAGAGAGAGAGAGAGCGTGTGTGTGTGTGTGTGTGTGTGAGCGAGAGTGAGTGAGTGTGTGTGTGAGAGAGTGCGTGTGTGAGTGTGTGTGTGTGAGAGAGAGAGAGAGAGCGTGTGTGTGTGTGTGTGTGTGTGAGCGAGAGTGAGTGAGTGTGTGTGTGAGAGAGTGCGTGTGTGAGTGTGTGTGTGTGAGAGAGAGAGAGAGAGCGTGTGTGTGTGTGTGTGTGTGTGAGCGAGAGTGAGTGAGTGTGTGTGTGAGAGAGTGCGTGTGTGAGTGTGTGTGTGTGAGAGAGAGAGAGAGAGCGTGTGTGTGTGTGTGTGTGTGTGAGCGAGAGTGAGTGAGTGTGTGTGTGAGAGAGTGCGTGTGTGAGTGTGTGTGTGTGAGAGAGAGAGAGAGAGCGTGTGTGTGTGTGTGTGTGTGTGAGCGAGAGTGAGTGAGTGTGTGTGTGAGAGAGTGCGTGTGTGAGTGTGTGTGTGTGAGAGAGAGAGAGAGAGCGTGTGTGTGTGTGTGTGTGTGTGAGCGAGAGTGAGTGAGTGTGTGTGTGAGAGAGTGCGTGTGTGAGTGTGTGTGTGTGAGAGAGAGAGAGAGAGCGTGTGTGTGTGTGTGTGTGTGTGAGCGAGAGTGAGTGAGTGTGTGTGTGAGAGAGTGCGTGTGTGAGTGTGTGTGTGTGAGAGAGAGAGAGAGAGCGTGTGTGTGTGTGTGTGTGTGTGAGCGAGAGTGAGTGAGTGTGTGTGTGAGAGAGTGCGTGTGTGAGTGTGTGTGTGTGAGAGAGAGAGAGTGTGTGTGTGTGTGTGTGTGAGAGTGTGTCTATACCAGCCATGGTGGATATTCCCAGCGTCAATCCGATGGACAGTTCAATCTGAGTGCCCTTAAAAACCAACACCATATGCATCATTAGAGACGAACACAAAGAGCCTTTGAATAAATCCAAGATCTAAATACAAGAAAATGACTCCAGGGCTCAACGCTAAGGATTTTTTCCATTGGTCCGGTGGTTCAGATGTTTACTTGCCCTGCCAGTATTTTCTTGCACTCACAGCTCTGATGAGAGAAGCTGAATCTCGATTCGCACACAGACAACAATCAGAACACCTGCGTTTACTTTTTATAAACAATCTGCATCAACACTTCACGGTTCTTATGACAAAAAAGGCTGTTTTAAATAAGTTTAAAACAAAATGTAAAAAGTATTAATACTACTGTTTTGGCATATACATACTGTAAATGAGAAAAAAAGTTAATTTTAATCAAGTGCAATATGAATTTTATGCGTTGGCCTGTACTGTGTGTTTGCTATATTACACTCATATTATTGGAAAGTTACTCCCTTACCCGCATCAATGTTTTATCATGTTTCATTTTTAATTATGCCTTAATGGCTTTATATTGGACTTAATGGTCATTATATAAAGTGGTTCAACATATTACAGCCATGTTACTCTGCAATAAATAGGATAAACGTATGAAAGATGATGCATTATTTGTCAACCAGATAATACTTGAATGCCAAGATGAATGTAGTGGCCTAAAATCCCGTAAAAGCTAATTAAGCTAATTTCAGCATTTTACAAATAACTGATACTGCATAAAAACGTTTCTTTCCACACGGCTAGTCGCTCTGGCAGGCGTTGTTCATTGGTCAGGCATTGACCAATAAAATGGCTTCATTCGCACCCCAGCCCCGCCCCCGGATCTGCTCTCTCGCATCTGCATGCATAAGCGCACAAGTGAGTTTTGCTACAGGAATATTGCGGAAGGAGTATAAAAAGTCAAAGCAAATCGAGAGATTCAGCTTTTCACATCACAGCTCTGAGTGTAAATTTCAACTTACAAATATGAATATTAATATGACAAGTTCTCACATTCAAATCAACAAGCTCTCGAGTTTTGCTGCTTTTTTACCTTCATAGTCTACACACTTCATAATATTTCCACACAAATTACATTTTGGAAAATGATTGCAGTGCGGTTTGTGTGGAAGCCTGTTTCCATCACTGAATAAAAAATAAAAAAGGTAATTGCAACTTTTCATCTCCCAATACTTCAGAATTGCGTGATATAAACTCGAAATTCTGAGAAAAAAAATCAGTCTTTTTAAATTCTGACAATTCTGACTTTTTTTTCTCAATTCTGACTTTT